AAATTATAAGTAAGTTTTAAAATATAAGAACTAAATAATTAATTTTTAAAATGAGAGAGACTAATTAATTTATTTCTCAAAACAAAAAAGAATAAACATCGACTAATGTGACTTTTTGGATTTGGTGAAATTTATAGCAAAACTTTTGTTTTCTCTCGTAATATTTTTTAAATCATCAAAAAGTCTACAATATTCCTCGACCTCGAAAGTGTTACCAACGGTCCTCGAAAACCCTTACAGAGCAACTCCTTTGGAAAGGTCATTTGAACCACACAAAAAGCTCCACAAACACCCCCAAACCAGACTTCAAAACCACCTTAAAAAAACCCCCAAAAAACCCTCAAAAAAGAGGCCTAAAACTAACCCCAAAACAGACCCAACACCTACGTAAAAGGCCCCAAACTCATCCCCGAAACTATTACCAACAGCCCTCGAAAACCTTTACAGAGCAACTCCTTTGGAAAGGCCATTTGAACAACGAAAGAAGCTCCACAAACACCCCTATACCGGGTTCAAAACCACCAAAAAAACCTCACCAAAATAGACACAAAATATCTCTCAAGACTGACCCCTCAAACACTTTTTGGAGTTACTACAAATGAAGAAATAAAAATTATTTATGATTTGTCTTATTTTTTATGATTCAATTGACTTTCCATGATTGTTCGCAATGTTACCATATACTCTCTTTTTTTTAATTGCTAAATAGTAATTTTTTATTCTAAAGAAAAAGCGGAGAAAATGATGGGTAAAAGCAACTAACTTATTATATGCATAGATAATAATACATGTTATACACATTTAAATTAATTTTATGTTGATAATTAATCTAAATTAGCTATTGAATTAATTAATTAATAAACATTTATCGATTATTCTATGGAGACGATTCATTATCTATCTTATCATTTCGGATATATGCTACATGTTAGATTTTTATTTTATTATCATTTGTGTTATTTTCATGAAAAAAATATTCGTACAAATTTATTATAAGTATTTAAATATAGAAATATAATCATAGGGGTATTATAGTAAATATATCATAATACATTTTCTTTCCTTCCTCTTTTTACAATTATCCAAACCAGGAAAATGTATTTTCTTTCCTTTTCTTTCCACTCTTATCCAAACAACAAGTGGAAAATGATTTTCTTTCCTCTCACTTTCTTTCCTCTCCTTTCTTTCCTCTCAAGAGGAATTATCCAAACAAGGGGTAAATCTTATACGTCCATCAAGTACTAAATTAACGATTCGGATTTAAAATACTATTGAATTAAAAAAAAAAACCCCGAACCAAACTTAATATGGGCTTATAGAAATATGGGTCATAACATCGAGGCCATATTCCTTACAAAAAATTCATGCAATAAACAAATAAATTTATGGTAATTAAAATAGACAAAAAAATAAAAACTTTTTAGCTTGATCGTTAAAAAATTAGAGATTAAAATCACTTTATTATATTTCACAATATGTACCTTCAATATAGTTTTACCACAAGTTTTAAGTAATTGTCTCAAATCACAACCATGTTATTTTTTTAAGACTATACGGGTTATTCATAGAATTTATCCGATACAACAGATCAAGTATATATTACATGTCGTATTAGGAATACAACAATCTCAATCATCTAGTCGTGTCTTACAAGTTTACACTCGCTTATAAGACTTGAAACTCCAAATATAATAATACCACTTCTATTTAAAAATATAACCAATAAAAAATATATGGCTTTTTTAATTAGGAGACTAAAAAAAAGATAAAAATGAAGAATTATTTTTCTTCACTAAGCAAAATAAGCAATGTTGCTTATATTTTTCTCTCTAGTTGCTAAGAGTATACAAAGTTCTTGTTATCTCCGAATGACAAGAAAAGAGTCCTATTTATAGGTTATGAAAAACAACCGTTTCTGAACACTATGAAAAATAATTATTTTTTTAACTATTTCCGATTGTTATGAAATCGTTATTTATCTTTATGAAAAATAATCGTTTTTGACCATTATGAAACCGTTTTTGATCATATATGAAACCATTCTTTATCATTATGAAAAAATAATTGTTTTTTAATCGCTTTTAGCCATTATGAAACCGGTTTTTATCATTATAAAAAAATACTCGTTTTTTTACTGTTGTAAAACAGTTTTGTATTTAAAACGATATAATAATAATTACTAATAATTTTGACCAAAATTAGTATTATTTTTTATCAAAATAATCCAAAAATTATTTAAAACCGTTTGGAAACTTTTGGTGATCAAAATTATAGTAATTATCTTTCAACAATTTTTGGCCTGCCGTCTTAATTAACTTATGATCAACAAAGCGGCGGCCATCTCAAATGTGGTTAAATTTTGATGATTTAGCAGTTTCTTTGGAGGCACCACATGCAGAAGCTGAAGGTAAAATATGTGAAATCGAGTTGGATCCCAACAATTGCAATCTTGAGGCTTGTTCTGCAGAGTGCTTCGGAAAATAAAATGGCCATGGGCAATACAGTTTCAGAGGCATGCAATAGAGAACGATAAGTGCTCACATGGTGCGTTTGCTTTTATTATTGCCCTTGAAGTAGCTCTTGCACTTCATTCAGCCCTATTTTCAATTTATTCAATTCCATTCAATAATATGATGTGCTTTATCACCGTCAATAAATGAAGAGTTCGAAAATTGATTTGAAGTGTTGTCCTGTTTCTTAATTCTTGTGTTTCATCTCTCTCTGTTTTGATTCAAATCGTAGCCTATAAGTTTCAACCAGTGGTGTCTTTACGGTCAAAAATGTGTGTTATCTTTTAAAAGTTCCAAAAATAAATGCTTTATTTTCCCTGAATCTTCAATGATTTGGTAGCATCTTATGTTAGAAGAGAAAGAAAGTAAGAGAGAGAGAGAGAGAGAGAGAGAGAGATCACATGACACTAATGACCTGGATTTTAACCCAAGTCATTCTGCAGACTGCCTTCCTCTTGGTGCAAGACAACACCTATGGATGGCAGTGATCGATGGGAAGAAAAAAATTAAATAGCATTTCACTGATTTTGTACCAAACTACTGTATCCCTATAGACAAGAGTCAAGACTCTTCTTATGCCACCACGATGAAGCTCTACACCTAAATAAGCAATTTGTACATGGCAGATACAAAATCCGGGACTTTGACACAGCAGGATGGAAATGCATTACAATGGAGGTTGCTTGCAATAATATGTGCAAGAACACAGGGCTTTCCAACACTCTCCCACTCCTAGCGGTTCCTTGGAACATTCTTGATTACATTTCTGCAAATCACAGCTGATCATGCCTAGCAGCTTGTGGCATGTGTGCTCTGGAATCCTCACCGCATTGGCCTCATTGATTGTCCAGGCTTGGCAAAACTCAGCTGCCAATATGAAAGAAAAAAATTGAGTGGAACCAAGAAGCATGTAATGCCTAACCTCCTAAATGTCATAGTTTCCTGTCCAGCATTTTATGGCCTGATTTGTTGATTTTAAGTTCTATTTCTGCTTTAAATGGCATTCTGCCACATACAAACAAGGTAATGATAAATCATATGCAAATAACGACATAACATATGCAAACTGATTCATTATTTGTAGGGTGCAAAAAGAAAAAACCTGAGACTAGCAGGAGCAGAAGAGAGAAGAGTGCATAGGATGTCCTCATCTTTCAGCTTCAGCTTCGACTTGGTCTTGTACACTCAGCTTCCTCTTGGTTGGAAGAGAGGGTCCTCAAGGTTAATGCCTTGATTATATGGTAACTTAGATTCTTTCAACATAAATAAAGGTTTCAAATAACATCAACTCACTAGTTAGTGAATATTTTCTTCAAGAGAATAATTTGTATCTTAGATCCCCAAGTCACTTCTGTAGTACTTGTGACAGGCTTGCTGTAAAGCATATTCTTTTCTTTGAAGAGACCGTCTTTATCAACCTTTTCCGTGGGGGGAGAGAGAGAGAGAGAGAGAGAGAGAGGGATTCATTACGAGGACAACAAATAACAACAGAGGAAGCATGCCACGGCTACTGAGACGTGTCAAAAACATCGATTAGCTTGCTGACCGCTGCCGATTATGTTACAATTTTATTCATCCGTAATTTCTAATTTGTTTTTATAGTAAATTCAAAATTTTGTTTTGTAATTTCTAACTTGCAGTTCCTTTTTAAAATCAGATGGATAATTTTTTTGCAAATGAATTTCTATTTACTTGCACAAAATATGGGAGAAACTGTCAAGTATTGGAAAAAAAAAAAAAAAAAAAACACGAAATTTTTTCCCATCAATTGTTTGGAGACGACCCCCCGACACCCCCCCCCCCTCTTCTTTTAGTCATTTGGTCCAAATTGCTCGGGACTGCAGTGCAGGGATGCCTGACCTCTTACTCTTTCCAGTTTTGCGGGGTCCATGTAAAATAGTTGCCACCAAGGTACGGTGAATATCGGAAAAGAACGAAACAAAGAGTGCACATGCCGGACTGAAAGACCTAAAAGTAAACAATTATCAGACATCCCAGCGGAAAGAGTGCTGAGAAACTAAAATTCTTAATCCATTCGTTTAAGACTTAAGCTTGCTGCCCAGCAAAACCCTAACATACGTTTCTTTAGGGCAACTCAGCAATGCCACAAACTTGCACACTCGGCTGTGGAGAGTAAATTAACAAGTCGTTTTTGTCAACAGCCAAGAAGCAAACGGATGGCTTAGCTAGCAGAACATTCGAATTCGAATTGGTAGGAATAGTTAGAAGAATATGCAACTGAAGCATCTTCAAAATTAAGCCACTATAATGAGAGGTAAAATGAAACTTTAAACTGCAGGGGAAACATTTAATTGGAAAACTAATTATAAAGAATTCAAAATTCCCACAAATATATTATAATCTTTGCTTAGGAGAACATCTTTAATCTCAAAGAGAAATGGAAACTGAAACTGAAAAACTGGAGGAAACCTAGTAACAAAAACTGGAGACACATAAACCAAACTGCATGACAAAACGCTAGGAGGAAACCTAGTAACCACCCTTGAGATCATTAACAACATCATATGGAATGGGAGTGACAGTTTCCAATGTAGCACCTTCCACCATGAAACCAGGTTTAGGACCCTCTGGCTGCCTCTTTGTGCAAATAACCTCACCTCTAGCCTTAGCCTCTGCCTTCAGTTGATCATTCTTCTTCTTCCTTAGACGGAATTCCTCAGTGCACCTTGAAGGCAGCAGATGCTCCACTCGTACATGGATCCTCTTCTTGATGATTCTGTTACCCACCTGTAATCAAGAATATAGATTACATGGCATTCCTCCGTTGCTCAAATTATAACACAGTAAACAGCATCAATCACTAAAGCAGCACAAGCAACCATCTCCGAAACAAACAGGTAGATCAATCCATTACAATGATGCACAAAGCAGAAAATATTAGGGCACACTGAGCAATCTTATAATAATGTCAGATGTAAGTTCGGCTATGACCAATTAAAACATATTTATAATCTTCTTGCTCGTTTTCCATGAATAATTAGCCCAGATTATCTACTTTTCAAGCTAAAAAGATAACACCTATGACAGTGCTACCAATAATGCCGAGACTCACTTGAATATTCAGCAAAATGAATCAAGAGGATAGATCTAACAACAAACAAATGATCACCTCAATCTCATACAAAAGGGAAAATCAAACAGTTCAGAAGCTAAACAACAAGCAAAGATGTCTCAACAGCAAATCAAACCCAATAAGTCAAAAAACCTATCCTTTCACCGCAGCTTGTTCATCTTCAAAATTACCAGATATGAAATAAACTCAACTCTTCAAACAAAGAGCATCAAACACTCACAAATCCCTCTCAAGCAAGCATTACAAAAATCAAATGCCAAAACATGGGGAAAAATCTTTATTTCAATGCCAGTCATATTCACATAAGCAGTAAAAACCATTAGAAAAATAGCGAAAAACCTTTATCGAAAAAACCTCAGATTCATCAGTAACATCAACAACATCATAAATAGATGATGTCATAGCTTATTTTAGATATAAAAAACAAAACCCAACTCAACAATAAAGCGAACAATCTATACAGATCAAACCGATAAGTAAAAAGCCTATCATTTCCACAGACCAAACGTCAAGCACATGAAATGAACTAAAACCCACAACAAAATTCATAACTTACAGGTCAAGATTAATAAGATACCTGCTTGTTGATCTCGACACCAACGGCACGTTTGGTAACATTCCAGACACGGCCAGTGCGTCCATGGTAGAACTTGTGAGGCATCCCCTTGTGGATGGCGCCGTTAACCTTGACGTCGACATAGTCTCCAATCTTGTAGGTTCTGAGGTAGGTTGTCAACGGAATGTAACCCTTCTTTCTGAAGGGACGTGCGAAGAGATCTCTAGTGCGAGACCGGAGACCGTGACCAGCTGGCATTGTGGGTTTGTGTGTGTGAGGAGGACCGCGCGGAGGCTCTAAGAGATAGAGGTGGAGGGTGCTAGAAAGGAGTCAAAACCCTAGATGGCTATTTATAGGTGGTTTTGGACTAGGGTTTTGTGATTGCGGGTTTTGGGTTTTGTTTGTTTTGTTGGGCCTTTAGATGGTTTCAAGTTTGCAACTAAACTGGGTCAACTAGGACGTATTTAGTCTTGGGCCCATGTGAGTGAATTAGGCTATTTGCTTTTGATGGAAGAAAGGGGCAGATAGTTTTTACACTATCTGAAAGAGAGGGTCCAAATTATAACTGAAAGGCCAAGCTTAGAACACGAAACGTGGCTCATTGGACCTGAAAATTTTGCCTTCCACATTGCAGCCCATCTTCTTAAGTGAGTTGTTAACTATTTATGTTCCAGCAAATTATAAATAAACTCTCATTTTCAAAAATAAATTAATTAATTTTTCTCATTTCAAAAACTAATTATTTCGTTAATTTACCATTAAGTTCTTATCGAAATTGTCAAATTAATACATAATGTTTAAAATATCCTTATGCCACCAAACTTCCTTCTTCACTGCAATAGGAAGGTTGTGCTCCTTGAAGTAGTAATTTAACTCCGCTATTGTGTCAGGTCCTTCAACTACAAAAAAATAGATCCATAATAAAAGAAATCATTATTGTTTAATTAGTAACTTATAATAATCGATTTTCCATTTCATTTATGGTAGGAAGATATTATAACTAACTTCAATAAACAAACAAAAAAACTAATTACTGCAAACCAATTTTATTTAAGTCTAGGAGTTGTTGACATATTCCACAACTTTGATTGCAAATACTAAAAGTTTCTCAATACCTTTAGCCTTGTGATTTTTAATTGTGGATATGATTGATGAGAAAGAAAGACATAGTTGAGAAGGAAAAAAAATAGACGAATGAGAGAAATAAGACACTAAAAAGGGATAATTTAAAAATAAAAATGCTACAATAAAAATAACTCATTATTATTCTAATGAAAATTTGATTAAAAAATTAAATTATAGACGAAATTTAAAAAATTAAATTATATACGAAATTCAGATTTTAACCGAAATCTTTATCTTTGTTGAAGTTAAACTTTGAAATGAAGGCTATTAGAGAATTGATTTTGATACATCATATCTACATCAAACATTACAAAAGACACTCAAATAGGTGGGTGTTCATTGTTCTTAAGCTATTCACTAAAACTGAATTCACTGTAGATCAAGAGTCATTTGTATTGTACTCAACTTTTCAATCCCTCTTGGCCGTCCCTCCTTCCACCTGTCTCGCTGCCTCTTTCGCACCCTTGATTTGTCTATTCTTTCATTATTTTTTCTTTCTTTATTCATCTTCTTGCATCATCTTTCATTTCTTTATCTTCTTCTTTTTAAATTTCATTTAACCTCTTAATTTATGCCCTCTTATTGTCTATTTAATTTCTTCTTTGTCATTCGGTGGTACTATGATCTTACATTTGTGCCCCTCTTTCTTCCTTTCCTTTGACTCGTTTTACGTCCCTTTTGGTCAATTTCATATTAGAGCATTTAATGCTCAACTCTCTTGGTTCAATAGCATTAATTGGTTTGCAATTTCCTTTCTCAACACTTCTATAAGTAAATTTTCATGTTAAAAGAATAAGAGTATTCCAACTTAATCCCAAGCCTCAAAGTAGTATTTTTAGGCTCGGACTTAATTTAAAAAATATGTTTATTTTTTAAATCGAGTCATAATTATACATGTATTTTTAGGTTTGAGTCTATGTTATTTTTATTTGCTTTTACCTAACCGAGACTAAATTTGATATGAAATAATTTTTTTTTCTAAAAATACGGAGTAAATTAAGGTTGAATTTTCTATATATATATTGGAATTCGGTCGAGATATAATTGAATTTTTTACTTAAAAATTGGAGGCTTGATTCAAATCCTTCTTTAGAGAAAAAGAAAAAAAAATGTTATTTCTCTTTTACATATGTATAGAATTTTCTTAAATTTCTATGCAAATATACAATTTTAAGTCAATTTATTGTTAATAGTAATGCTAGCTTATTTATCTTCTTTAAAATAAAATTTATGATTCTATGCGACGCTTCGAACAAGTTGTTGTTTCTATTTAATTCTTAAGAAATTTTGAAGTGTTAAAAGAGAGATTAAAATCAAAAACCTTAATATATATATATATATATATATATATATATATATATATATATATATAAAAATGTTAAATTGAAGGGCCTTTAAGATGAAACTTAGGACAAGATTTATATCTAAGTATTCAAAAGGAAGCAACAAGAGAGTTGTCCTTGTTTTGAAGGAAATTAACTAAAACAACTAAAAGAGATGGGAAAGATAAACAATAATTTTTATTGTTCACCCCCTTACATGATATTATGGACGCATTGTAGATAAGAGATGATATTTTTATAATTTTTAAGCTATTTTGGATATTTACATTCAAATTTTATATCATATTTTATTTTGATTTTTAAAAGAAACAACTAAAAGAGATGGGGAAAATAAATAGTAATTTTTATTGTTCGCCACCTTACTTGATACTATGGATGCATTGTAGATAATAAATGACATTTTTGTGATTTTTAAGCTATTTTGGATATTTACATTCAAATTTTATATCATATCTTATTTTGATTTTTGAAAGTTTAAAATAAAATTTTTTGGCTCTTGGGTTGCTACACGCTCAAGCATGCAACTTGCATTGAACTTACAAAAGCCAGACGAGCAAGCCTGCCCTTCTTCTTCTTCTTCTTTTCTTTAGTTTTTTCCTTTACTTTTTTCTATCAATTTATTATTATTATTATTATTGAATTGGATGTGAAAATTATGAAAAAATAATCTTTTTTTTTCACACAAGTTGACAATCATGGAATATATAAGATATTTTTTTAGATTTAAAATGAACATATACATCAGATTATATTACTCTCACTATTTAAATTCAATCTCTTTGATTTTTCATTTCTTAAAAAATTATCATAAAATTAATTTTTTATTCTTGTTTTTTATGTAATTTTATTTGTTGATAAATATAATTTATTTTTTCTATGTATGGATTTTTGAATAAGTTTTTTTAGTTATTTTTATTTGCTTATTGTTTACATAATAAAATTTTAAAAATAGACTTCATGTGTTTTATTTACTTATTCTTTATATAATCAAATTTTATTGAAATTAATTTTGTCATTTTTTTATTACACTTTATTAACTTCAATATATTTTTTACAACTTAAATTTTTTTTAAAAAATAATTTTTTGATTATGCTATGCACTCGACCTAGTGAGTAAGGTTATGATGTATGGAAAAAAAAACTAGAATCATTGATTTTATTATAAATTAACTATAAATTTACTAACATAACATCAGCTATTTGCTTTTATTTTTTAATATTTCAAAACTAATTTTTTTAAATAAAATAATTGAAATAATGTTTTAGAAGAATCACCTAAGAATACTAATATTTTTCATTATTTTGTAAATAATTGAAGACAAATCAAATATACATATTTTAAGAAGAATATTCTTCTCATAAGTATTAAACGAGAATAAAAAAAATCATTTGTTAATTTTTATAAATATTTTTTTCATTAATTATTGCTCATTTCTTCGATGCAATATTATGAAAAAAAATATTAAGATGTTTTTTTTTAATTTTTATTTTTTAGATTATTATGAGTTTTTATTTAAGAATAAATGTATAAGAAAGAAAAAATTATATTTTTTAACTACAAAATTCACAAATCAATACAAAATTTTAATAAGAAATTATAACATTAGATGAAATTTTATCTTTATTTTTTAATTTAATATATTTTAATTAATAGATAATATAATACATGTTATCAAATTATAATTAATATATTTAATTTAGCTTACAGCATAACACAGAAAGCAAACTAGTCTCTTCTAAGGGTGGTTGGTTGGAGCGCGTTGAATTCCAAGATCTCGTTACAGAACGGGGAAAGAAAACGGGGAAGAAAAAGATATCCAATGTACATAGACAATGCGTCTATTTTCAAGTCAACTTAATGGAAATAGATTTTTATCTTTGTTATTCCCTGAATAGTTTCAAAGCATTCTTGTAACGGTGTTCCAAAAACCATCCTGGGGACCATTTGCCAAACTTTTCCACCTATATTTAAAGTCAAGATTGTTCACTAGAGGTATGAAGTCAAGATTGTTCATTAGAATTTAGACGCTTGGCGAGTCTCCCATTCTCCGGCCTTGGGGATTTTTTTTGTGATTTAATATGGTATAGCTTCTGTTCTACACAGAATAAATTTTTTCGAGATTTTCCACTGCTGTTGTTGGAATTTATTTTTGCGCTTTGAGAATAACCTTTTTTTCTTTTTCTCTTTAGTCAATTTTGCTTCGTCTTTTTTCTCTCTCTGTCTCTCTCTCTTTGTTTTTTTGGTCTCAGTGAGTCACAAAGCTTTAGTGACAGGTAACCCAATTCTCAAACCATCAGCTTTTAGTGACTACTTCAACCAAGAGGTCCCATGCAAGACAATTTGCTATTTATTTGGAGAAATATGATTCGCATAGTGTGTAGCTATACTATTGGCCAATTTGTTGTCTTTTGACCCTCACAGTAATGCTTTCCTTTTACTTTTTTCTTTTTCTTTTTCCATAGCCCATCTCGTGGTCTTTGTTTTTCATTTGCCCCCCTAGCATTAAGATATTCCTCTTAGAATTTTTCACCTTTTGTTTGCTTATTTTTGGTCGTTGCTCATTATTACTCTATTACGCCACGGATTTAGTTCATTCATCCTCTCATTGGCTTATTGACTAATTAATCAGATAGACTTTGTTGTACCATGCATGCCTTGTGAGATCATGTTTTCCCATTATGCAAGTTGCTTTCAAAGTTTTGCATGACCTTCGCTCAGCATTTCTTCATCTTTTACACCGTATAAACAATTCAATCTCAATTTCATGATGTGAGTTCTAGATTTCTATCCCAATATTTTCTGCACTGATGAAATAAAATGTATTCACCAATCAGAGCGTAGATACAACAACTAAACAGATGCAAGGTAAAAAATAAATAAATAACACTTCATTATAAGAAAAGGTTAAATTGTCCTTCATCTTTCTACTAATGATCACTTTAATTTATCACGGTAATGTAATCTTTTTTTTAATCTGCTAACTATTAATAAAAATCTCATAATGTTTAATAATTGAGTGGGCAGTATGATCTCTATATGGCAGAAAAATTAAGAATAAGCAGATGTTGTTTACAAAATTGTTACCTTCACCCCTACGGTCTGTTACTATGTAATTTAATTTCATTTATGCATCCAACTCTTGCAATTCCTTCTAATATATTTTTTACTCTTTTTTTTCCCTCAATACATGAAATAAAATTTAAAAAAAAAAAAACGAAACAAAACTACAACACATTGCGTTGTTCATGTTCATTTCGCTGTATTTTTAGACTCTCCTCTACTGTAGATTTTTACTGTTGCTTTTTCTCCCGCTACCTTGGGTTGCTCGTTCTGTAGTTTTGCTTGATTGTCAAATGTCGTTATTTGCCATCTTTATTATTATTATTTTTTAATAACATTGATGCCATTGATTGAATTTGTATTCTTAAATTTCGCCTTCTATTTATTTGATTAGCTCTTTTTTATTGTGTTTTTTTTTAGTTGCTTTATTAAATGTTTTTATTTGTTGTTCTTTTTTTAATTATTTTGATGGTTTTTATCTTTTCACTTTCCATTCATTTTCTTAACTCTTTTCTTTTCTATGCCTTTTTTATTTTATTTTTTTCATTAGATCATTTCATGGATCTATTGATTTTTTTTTTTTTGTACCATGCTATTAGTAAATGCTATTAGTAAATGACATAAAATAAAAATATAAAATTTTCCGAAACAAAGCCCAGGCAACCGCCCTAGTAAACAAACGCTTAAATAGAATAGCAGACATTTTAGTGTATTTTCTTTTTTATAGAGCCATTTATATTGTCTTTTTGTGTCTCGCACTTCATTGGCACGGTTTCTCCATTTATGGAGCAAGAATTTTTTTCCTGCTCGCACTAATATGAGCCATCCATAAAATGGTTGAATTTACTTGCAAATAAATGTGAATTGGCAGCCAAAGTTGGTGAAATTTTCAAGCATAATTTTTCATTATCACACACTATATAAAAGTTAGTGAAGAAGGTGAGAATTGTCAACCATAGCTGGATTCGTTTGAAAATTCATCACTTTCTTGGCAGTTGACCACCACCCCCTTATGGTTCTCTTTTTGTGGATTTTCATTTTTTGTTTTTACACACTTCTGGAAATCTTTTGGTATAGAAATCATTCAGATAATAAAGTATCCTGTAGATAAAACATACAGTGTCCCATCTCTTCGTATCTTTCAAAATTCAACTATCCTTCTCTAGTGGAATACGGAATGCCCTGTTGAATTTTATCACCAAGCCCACTGTGATAGCTCGCTTCCCTATTTAAATCCTCTATTTCATTTCCTCCTCGAAATACTATGACCCTTTACTTATCTTCACCATGGCCAAAATCCCCCATAGTCTTGTATCCACCTTCCTCATTCTCTCAATAGTTCTCTCATTCATGATCCTTGCCAACGCAAAATCCCAACGTTTCGCTAGATACTTATCTCCGGCAACACTAGGCCTCAAGAAAGAGAAACTGAGCCACCTTCACTTCTACTTCCATGACATAGTCAGTGGAAAAAATCCGACTGCAGTCCAAATAGCCCGTGCAGACATGACAAACACATCTTCAACAGGATTTGGAATGGTGGCAATGATTGATGACCCCTTGACCACAAGGCCTGAACTCAATTCCAAGCTTTTAGGCAGAGCACAAGGGATCTATGCTTCAGCTTCCCAAAGTGATCTTGGTTTGTTAATGACTATGAATTTTGGTTTCGTGGAAGGGAAGTACAATGGAAGTACTCTCAGTGTTTTGGGACGTAATAGTGTGTTATCTACCGTGAGGGAGATGCCGATTGTCGGTGGGAGTGGGCTTTTCCGGTTTGCACGTGGCTATGCGCAGGCAAGGACTCACACATTTGATATTAAAACTGGTGATGCTGTTGTGGAGTATAATGTCTATGTCTACCATTACTGACTGTCTCCTAGTAGCTGAGGATTCCTTTTTTTTTTTTTTTTTTTTTTTAGAAAAAAAAAACTCAGGCTTTGCTAGAACTTAGAAAGTGATTAATAAAAGAAAACTGATAGCATTCTGGTGGGCTGGAGAAAAGGAATCGCTAATATATTAGTCCCTCGTCCCTAGCTACTGTTTTGGCTTCTTCACCGTTATTAGATGAGAAGGTTGATTTGTAATGAATTCATGTTCGAGTATTTTTCATGTATCTGATGATATATCCTCCTTAATCCAAGTTGTTTTGAATAATTGTGACTATGTGCATTATGTTCTCGAACTTATTTACATCATGCTGTTCTTTTCAAATATGCAAACAGCTGAATGATGAGAATGACCTGACATACTTTCCACCCGAAGGTGAAAGGGATGGTTAAAATGTGAAGCAAATTACGGAGTCAAAGTCAATTGGTAATTAATTAAGGTTCTTGGGTTGCGAAAGTGCGACTTAAGACATATTTGGTTCTTCATAAAGACCTTGCAGGAACAGGACGAATTTAATTTGTTGATTACCTTACCATGCATTCACTCAGTTGGTGCTAGAAGATTCAGACTGATAGCCCTATTCAATGGAAATAGCATATACAATTTCCGTAGTACTGCAAGACCTGACTGACTTATGTTTGGGAAAACTGGATTCTTTTTTTTTTTTTTTGGTAAGGAATTTCGAAGAGTTATCTTTGTTTCTTGACAAAAAACATTAGCTACCATGTTATGCCAATGCCAAAATTTGACTTCTAAAAGTTTTAGTTTGAGACTGGAATATTAACCGGCTAGATCAAATCATATGCTGTGGAATTAGCAGTGCACTGGCTCAAGCCATTGAATAAATACTGGTATTTTTATGTACTTCCAGAGGATTATTTATTTTTGATATGCAACATAACTAAAGTCTAAAGGTCTTTGAGCAGTATTGTGATAGTAAAAGACCATTTTTAAATTACTTAACAGGGCATGGAGGTGCGATCTTAAAGCTTGATTTAATTGTAGGTGCACCTTTTGAGGTGATTTTCATCCTAATATAGGATCAGGTGTCTCCGTTCGTTGCTTGCCTAGTTTTATCATCTTTCGAATCCCTTAAATTAGGGATTAGAGGGAAATATGTTTCATTCTCTGTTATTAAATTGTCTTTCTTTCACTTCATTGTGGAGATGCGAATAGGGCAGCTGGGGCACTTGCTTGGGTCTTCCTGTGGTCCTGTGGATGATCCGAGAGAAGTCATCCACTTATAAATCAAGCTGCATCATTTGTGACTACGGAATAACTCAATTTACTGGCAACTTTAGCCTTCCTGAAACGGCATCTTGACGATGGACCACAGAAAATCAAGATTATAATATCTACAGTGAGATTCTACAAGATTGTGCTTAAGACTTTGTGAGTTTTTGATGTAGCAAAAACTCACCAAAAGAAAGATAATTACCATTGATCTGAAATTTAGATATCGATCTACTATAATTTGTTAAATTGTACACAAATATCAAAAAATAGATTTCAATTCCGTTGATTCAAAGAATGTCGAAAATTGAACAACTAGGGCACTTGCTTGGGTCTACCTGTGGTCCTACGGATGATCCAAGAGAAATCATTAACTTATAAATCAAGCTCCATCACTTGTGAGTATAGAATAACTCAATTTACTAGCAACTTTAGCCTTCTTGAAACGGCATCTTAACAATGGACCATAGAAAATCAAGATTATAACATCTAGAGTGGGATTCTACATGATTGTGCTTAAGACTTTGTGAATTTTTGACGTAGCGAAAACTCACTAAAATAAATACAATTACCATTGATCCGAAATCCAAATATCCATCTAATATAACCTATTAAATTGCACATAAATACTAGGAAATAGGTTTTAATTCTGTTGATTCAAAGAATGTCGAAAATTGGAATAAAACTAGGACACTCTCTCATAAACTTTATTAGTCAAGCAAAAGTGCCGTTTTTAAGCCTCAAAGTTATACATAAATAGTAAATTTAAGCCAAAACCCTAAAGCAATTCAAAAAGAAAATAAACGCTAAAAATATGAAATTATTAAGGAAAAATCTCGAAAAAACAGTAAAAGTCGATTTTGAGGAACTAAACGATGTTTTTTTTACTAAAATCACCCGTACCTCATATGCAAAGCTAATGAGTTTTGATTGTTAGTCCGTTTGGCATCAAACTAGATCTAAAAAGATCTTAAAATTGGATCAATAGTTTTTCTTCAATTTTTGCTATACTTATATCGTTTCATGAATTTTAACACCCATTGACCTACATCAGTTTTCTCTTTAACTTAGGTTGTTGAAGTTTGTTTTCAGAACACTAAATCCACCAAAGTAAATTTTCTACGTTTGTTACATGTTCCATATGTTGATTAAATTATAAATTAATCTTTGTTATTTTAAACTAATTAATTAATATTTAATAGTTTTTCATTCACATTTCTTTTTTTTCCCCTCTTCGATAAATCTCGGGAGACATTTGTTGGATGCTTTACTTTTTCCCCTTTCCTTTATGCTAGCAATTTATCCGTGAATGAATCTATGCCTCAAAACGTCAGCAGGTTGAGATGCAGACGGCATGGAGGCAGCATACCACCAAAGCTACCTTGAGAGTTCTCACAAAAGCTAAAGGGACTAAATAAATCTTATTTCCCACAAGTGCTCCTTTTTTCGGAGGAATAGAACAAACTTCAGACCTCCAATTGACTTGCCAATTTGTCTTCTTTAGACCCTGGTAGTCATATCGACCTTTTCACTTTCCACATGGCACCATCTGCCCTCCATCTTTACATCGAACGGTGCAAATGCAACTACAGTTTTGTCCTTGAAAAAGTAGGTAATGGGTAGGTCACCTCACACTAGGAAATTTCAACACCTTTTCCTTGTTTTATTCTGCCTTTGTTCAATATTTAAATGCTTGAGCATTTATGGATTTAATTTATTTTTCTCTAAATGACTCATGTTTGGAAGGTCTAGAATGACTTTTTTGTCTCATGTATACTTTTTTCCTTTTTTTCTTGACTAAACAATTGGTTTAGTGATTTCGCGTGGCATTAATTTTTATGGTCATGAATTTTGGTGACAAGAAAGCAGCCGTGAATGCAATAATATTGGATATTGAGTCATTTTTTCTTCTCTTTCATCTCTGATATTGGTTATTCATGCTATGCATGCTATACATTCATTTTACGTTGTACTTGAAAAAATTTTCATGGTAATTTTTCAAGCATGATGTTTCCCAGAGACACGCTTAAGAAATAAAATTTATATCTCTTAGACCACGTGGTACATACTGTCTGCGCGAGCTTCGTACTTCTTGGACTAGGCTTTCTCGATCCATTGTAAGGGCAAGAAATTGTTTTCTTCTTTCTTTCCGGGTTAATAAAGGTAGTTTCTTAGTATTTACATTAATTTCTTGACACGACAGCCAAACGGATTAAAGATTTGTCACTTAAGCTTTGACATGTCTTTGAATAGTGTGTATACATATGTGTGTGCGCGCGCGCGTTTTATACGCAAAAAATACAACTGGAAACAAGTGACTTTGTCCCACGCCTCAATACTTTCTCTTCTGAAATGCTCAGCTCACTACCACGACCTACTCCTTGATTCCAAATCTTACATTATATATAGTTAAGTCCCACCTAAGCCCATTTAAATCTTTTATTCATTCTTTGCCTAGCATTAATTAGTTGTGATCACTATGGCCAAAATCTCCAGAAATGCCACCAGTTCCTTCATTCTCCTCTTCAGCACTATTCTAATCTCAATGACCCTTGCTACAGCAAAATCTGACAGTTTCTCAAGAAACTTATCTCCCAAAAACCTAGGCCTCAAGCGAGAGAAACTAAGCCACCTCCAGTTCTACTTCCATGACATAGTCAGTGGAAGAAACCCCACTGCTGTTCCAGTTGCCCGTGCAGCCATGACTAAGAATTCTTTCTCATCGTTTGGACTGGTTACAATGATGGATGATCCTTTGACCGTAACGCCCGAGATCAGCTCAAAGCTTGTAGGAAGAGCACAGGGAATATATGCATCAGCATCACAAAGTGAACTTAGTTTTTTGATGGCATTAAATTTTGTTTTCTCAGAAGGGAAGTATAATGGCAGCACCCTTAGCATTCTGGGGCGAAACAGTGTGTTTTCCGGAGTTAGAGAGATGCCTATTGTTGGTGGGAGTGGGCTTTTCAGGTTTGCAAGAGGCTATGCTCAGGCAAAGACTCATGAGATTGACCTCAAAACTGGTGATGCTATTGTGGAGTACAACGTTTATGTCTTCCATTATTGAGTTGTACTGGTTATAGTTGATTTTTTTTTTTTTTTTTTTTAATTTGTGCTGCTGTAATATGCTATATACGTCATGTTTCGTTGTTGGGGTTAATAAAGTTATTGAAAAATCAACTGCCTATGTCTTGATGGGCCAAGATACTTGTAAATTGAAGGAGGGTGCCATATCCCTGACACTTTTTTTGGCCCTTTTGGCACCCAGCTGACTGTTTTCATTTATTTCAGTTAAAAAAAAAAAACAATAAACAAAAAACCAGATAAATAAATAGAGTACACTAAGTTTTGCTTACATGAGAAATGTCCACCTAAGATCATTAAAAAAAAGAAGTCTTTATTGATGCATAAAGTAGTTCAATGATATTTTTACCATAAAAAAAAAAGAAAAAAAGGCAAGTAACCTTTCAGCAGATCGAAGATTCAGCCAAGAAGAAATAGATGATAGGAGCTTTCTATTTCACATAAAAGATACTGATACATGATTATTTGTTTCTTTGAAAAGATTCAACAAGATCCTATATAGACCCTTCATATAACTCGCCGGTAGTTCTGTACTTAAAACTTTGATGACATACATTGCGTCCATAGCATTTTTATATAAACTCCCACTCATTACGTCTCGAATATTCGAAGTTGCTTTATCATGATGTTGATTTTACGGTTAATTTTATGAGCTTATATAGCTGTCTATATGGTTTTCCTCATACACAGATTCTTTCTTAGTGACCATGACTAAAAAATAAAATCACTAGCTAGTTTTGTTGTTTTTTTCCTTCTTTTTGTTGGAATATTCCAGCTACTTCATGCCACCGAAGATGAAAGACAAATATGACAGCAAGTGTACCAAATTAATCACATTGACGAGATGATGAGTAGGACAATTTAGCCCCAAATGAAAGATGCTTGCCACTATTAGTGGAAATCGCTAAACCTTTTACATGCTTTGTTGTTCATGAAGAAATTGCAAGATTGGTTTTGTTACTATACTTTCACCAAGCTGGTTTCCTCATTGGAAGAGGTACAAACCTGCCACTGCAGAAAATTTAGAATGCGAATTGGCAAGCAATTTACATGTTATTACTGTTTTTACTTAATGCATGATTTTCAGGTTAATATCTTCAAATCTTTAAAACCCTGAGTTGAAATGAAGAGGAGGAGATGAGTCGAGTTCATTGTCATTTGTCAAAGACGGTGAACTTAAAAGATTGGAAAGATGTAAGAATGGGGAAGAGAAAGATAGATGGTTTATTATTAATCAAGTTATTTGGCTAATAAGAAAGAAGAAGGATGAGAATCGAGTTTTTCAACTGAAACTTGAAAGCATTAAAAATTACGAAAAGGTAAGAAATAGAATCGATCTGTTCAAATTGAAAGGATTGAAAATTATAAATAAAGAATTATTGAAAATTATAAATAAGTAATTCTGCCAATCTTTTTTCTTGAGTTTTTATCTTTCTTACCTGATGAAAGATGCGCCAATCCCTCTCTCTCCATGCATCATTTCTCTCTTTTTTTTTTTCAAACATAGTGAAAAAGTTAATAACAATGAGGCACAGATCCACGTTGTACGGAATTTTATTTATTTATTTTTAGAACCACGTTGTGGAGAAATTAAATTAAAGAGAATGTGTGTAACGTTGCATGATAAACAAATTGGCAAGGCTACATTAGTCTAACTATAGATAAAAAGCGCCTTTTTTTTTTTTTTTTTTTTTTTTTGGAAAAAGAAGACAACGTGTGTCCCGCGTTGATTGAAAATTGCCTTCCAGAATTGTCGTTGCAGCGACAAATCATTTTCATACGGATTGGTCACCCTCTGGATACGCTCTTAGACCTTGATTTATGAGGTCAGAGATCTCATGTGGTCCAGTGGAAGATTAAAGAATGAAAATCTGATCTGCCGGTTGAGAAGAATTCAAGAATGTTGAATATGAGGGTAGATACACGGAATTAAATCTCTTTCTTGCAAGACGCTTCAAAAGATTCATTGTTTTTAGGGGAAAAAATAAATAACAATATTTGAATTCTTCCAATTATAATTATAATAAGCATTACTAATTTACAGAATCACACTAGCAACTTCGCAAGAAGTTGTTGGCCTCAATTTGATGACTGCTTCCTTCCCCATGTCATAAGCGTCACTCTCTTGTTTTCTTAGGCGTCATTACTAAAATTTCTAACAATAATATAGTCCAGAGGTAAATTTTATATCTTTGACCTAACTAGAGAAATAGAATTAGTTTTGACGTGCAAAATATGATATTAGGATAGCAGTGGCTGTAAAACCACAAAAAAAACAGTACAGAAATTTAAATGTTTAATCGTTGGCGTAATGGAAAACGGGAGGTTTGCTTCCCAAGTGACGGTGGTTTTGTCAAAATTGGCACCCTACGTTTGCCATGAGGTTTGAAATTTCGTGATAATTTAATTAAAGGACGATTTCAAGATCTCTTCGGTATCTAATACTAGCACAGACCATGTATTGTCTACTAATTTTATTTTATTTTATTTTTATTTTTATTTTTTAAAATATTGTGGGAATTAGCTGTCTCCTTGCCCAACACTGCAGGTCGGGTTTAACAGTTAAAATTATCTAATTTTATATATTTTTTAAAAAAATTATATCTAATTTATTCTTTCTTATGTTTTTTATTAAATTTTGAAAGAAAAAAAAACTCAATTTGTTCTTCCAGGTTCATTGATTTTTAAATACAAACTTACAATAATTTAAATAAAAAATTTAAGTCAAAAGTAAAAAAAAAATGTTCTAATAATTTTTTCATAAGATTACATCGAAAATAATAAAATAATAATTGATATAAAAATTAACAAATGATTTTATTTTATTATTCTTATTTAATGTTTAAGACAAGATTTAAAAAAAAAAAATACACACACACACACACACACATATATATATAAAGTTGTATTTGAATAGTTTGACGATTCTTCCAAAACATTATTTTATTTGAAAAAATTGATTTTTAGAACATTGAAAAAAATAAATAACAAATAATTAATGTTATGTGCGTAGATCCATAATTATATTTTAATAAAAATAATAATTTGATATATATATATATATATATATATATATGCATCATGACCATACTTAGGGAATTCAAAACGTAAAGCATAAAAAAAAAAAAATTTAAAAAACCACATAAGTTGTAAGGAAATATTGAAGCCAATAGATTGAAATAAAAACTCCAAAATTAATTCTGATATATTTTGATTAAATAAAAAAAATTAAACTTGTAAATTCTATATTTTTTAATTGATTATTGAATTTTTTTCAAAAAAATTTAAGTCAAATTATCTTGAATACACTTTTTGCTCTCTCTCTCTCTCTCTCTCTCTCTCTCTCTCTCTCTATATATATATATATATATATATATATATATATATAGAGAGAGAGAGAGAGAGAGAGAGAGAGAGAGAGAGAGAGAGAGAGAGAGAGAGAGAGAGGGGGGGAGGGGGGCTTTTTTTATGCCCAACTTTTGATTATTTATTTTTTTCTATTTTAGTGTCCAACCGTTAATTTTTTATGATTTGTTACCCAAATTTTGATTTTTTATTTATTTTGATGCTCGAGTGTAATACTCGAAATCCGCTAAAATTAAAATTTAATGTAGTTAAAAGTACTAAAAACATATGAAAAATATTTTGAGGACATAGAATAATCCACAAAGGGTTGAAAGAATATTCGTAACGAGTTAAGATAGTTTTTACGTGCTCAATGAATATTTTGTTGATTTTACGATGCATGAATAATAACTTTTTGTGTGAAATAATTATTTTAGGCATGTTGTATATGCATGAAAAAAGTTTTGTTTGCTTAGAATATTTGTAAGAGGGGCTTTAGATTATTCCATATTGTTCGATGAATTTTCCGATATTCCGTGAATATTTTATTTATATTTTATTGTGCATGAATAATATTTTTAAGGTAAATTAATTAATTAAAGTGCTTTAAAAGTATAAGAAAATTATCCAAAAGGTGTAGAAAAATCACTTTGGATGTGTAAGAATATTTAATAAGTTTATATGAATTTTTCTATATATAAGAAATATTTTCTATAGAAAATAATATAATTTTTAAACTAAATAATTAATTTGAATGTCTAAATAAGAATATAAAAATTATGTGAATGAATAATATAATTTTTATCCAAAATGTGTAGAAAAATCACTTGAGGATGTATAATACTCGATTTCAAGATCTCTCTCTCTCCCTCTCTCTCTCTCTCTCTCTCTCTCTCTCTCTCTCTCTCTCTCTCTCTCTATATATATATATATATATATATATATATATATATATATATATATATATATATATATATATATATATATTAGTAGTGCCATCCAAGATATGTCGAGTTGTTTTGTTACTTAACAATTTGTAATTTAAATACAATTAAAATTCAACCAATTAAATAAAATTAACCTAATTAATGAATTAAACATAAAAAATCAAATTAACTTAATTAATTTTAATTCTAACCATAGTAAATTTAAAATAACGATTAATTAATAATTTACAATAAAAATAAAAATAAAATTCAACCAATTAAAAAAATTAACTTAATTAATTAATTAAAAATAAATCAAATTAACTTTATTAATTCTAACTCTAACCAAATTAAATTTAAAATAGCAATTAATTAACAATTTCTAATATAAATAATATTGAAATTCAAAAAATTCAACAAAATTAACCTAATTAATTAAATAAGCATAAATAAAATAAAATAATTAAAAATCAATTCGATTAAATTTAAATAACAATTAATTAACAAATTTACCTAACAATTAACAAAATTTAACGATTTAAAAAATTAAGAATTTAAAAAGTAAATCAATAAAATAACAATTAAATATATACAAAATTATAAATCAAGTAAATAAACTTAAAATCAGCCTAACAATTATAACAAATTACTAACTTTAATTAAGAAAATAAAAGAGAATAAAGAACTTACCTAATTCGAGTAAATCACACCA